CATACTATAAAGAATTACCTGGCCTAAAGTTGCCTAAATCGCATTAAAAAGTAACACGAAAATGTTCGGTAACTGGATTCGAACCCGCGACCCACAAATAAGTTGAGCACTTTAACCGCCAGGCTAAATATATAGTCAGTTCATAGCGTATTTATACTGTAAGATCCCTTGGAAACGAAACGTAGCAACGAAATATAAATCACATTTAAACCTTTTCCATGTCGAAAGGAAGAAATATACCCTTACTCACCTGATGGCTCAACGGTAAGCGTAAGGACTTATAATGTTAAAAATCTGTATTCGATACCCGCGGTGGACAAGGTATAGATAGCCCATTGTGTAGCTTTGCACTAAAAAACAAGAAAAAAAAACTAATTGAGAAAAACGAGAGCTCTTTATTTATCAGCGTAATTAGGCCTACTCTGCAGATCGCGAATGTTAAAAACAGTCAGCTTCAAAAATTAAAACAAAAAAGATATGATTATTTGATTGTCAATGTAACCAATATATTGGTATTCAGTTATTAATATTTAGAACGTGTTTTTACACTTATTGGTCAATGTTGAAAATATTTAACCTCATAAAAGTTTAGTCATAAAAAGATAATAGTACTCAGATATTCAATAGAATATCTAAATATAATGTATCATATAACTCTGAAATATAGTGTCATTTTTTACCTGCGTACAAATTACATTTGTTTATGAACTGGTTACTTTTTTTAGTTTCTACGATGACTGTAAATTAACTTTATCATACCGATACTAATTAAATAATTAATTCAGAATGTCACAGAAGTCATTGGATATAGAGATAAATACACATATTCGCTGATAAAGGAACGTAGACCAGTTTCATTCAGCGCTTTTCTGACCATTTATGATCAGAAACACTTCCCCTGTCTAATCCAGGCACCAATTTACCAGTATAATTGTTGGGGATGGCTTAACCAGATGACGATTTCTTATGTAGAATTCATTGTCTACTGTACGATATATCCTGTGATTATTTCCGTGCAGGATATCAAATGACATTTTCTGGTGTTTCATAATTTGTCATTGTAAAGAACTGGCTAATAAAAAAATAACACTATATATCTATTTTTTAGCGACTTCTATGACTCTGTGGATAAGTGGTTTAAGTTAGCATAACATTTTATATATCAATAAATTGTGAGTGTAGCATTTCATATGTAATAGTGTTGGTAATGCGAGTTGTGTTAATATTTTCTCTATTGGTCATTATAGATAACAACGACGAGCGTAACATCAGTGGCGAACAGTCTCTCGAGGAAGAGGCAACAAAACGACAACGTACGCAGTACAACGGTGACCAACTTTATACCAACGTGAGTATCTACTATATAAGCCTATGACAATGTAACAAACAAAATGACAATGTACGCAATACAACGGTGACCAACTTTATACCAAGGTTAGTATATATGTATAAACCTATAACAATATAACAAACAAAAAGACAACGTACGAAGTACAACGGTGACCAACTTTATACAAACGTTGTACTATATAAACCTATGACAATATAAGAAACAAAACGACAACATACGCAGTACAACGGTGACCAACTTTATACCAACGTATGTATTGTATAAACCTATGACAACACAACAAACAAAACGACAACGTACGCAGTACAACAGTGACCAACTTTATACCAACGTATCTACTGTATAAACCTATGAC